AATCAGTCATGACAATGTTGCTATATAAGGTTTGGAAGCGAGATTGATATTGGCAGTTGTTCATATGGTGAGTGAAATGATGACATGCAAAGGATCTTAAATAAAAGACAAATAAGGTGAACGAGCAGGATATATATGCAAAGATTTTGGGTTTAAGTCTAACTCACTCTTGTTGACCCTACTCACTCCCAACAATTCAAAGATGCATGACCCTATAATTATATAAACAAAGCCTTTTCTTTTTCTTTTTTTTAACTTGATAAAAGCAATTCAGTTAAACTACCTATACATAATGCCATGAGCTGGTCAAGAACTTTAGAGGAAGAAAGGAATAATAATTAAGATTAACGAAATAATATTTTACATCTCAGGTGAAGGGTGACTCACCGTATCATGACACTAAACATAATTAATCACACGCTTAAGCAAAGAGATAATAATAAAAATCTGAAGGTCTGTATTGCAATGATATTGTGATGATGGCTTAAAGCTGGAAGTCCGCAGGCCGTACGCTGCAGCCTACAGGGAGTGTTTATTTTCATGTTGCTTTGGCTCACTGAATGCCCAGAGAGTCCCATGACCCCTTTATAATATCAAGACTATATATTCAATTTTTTCTTTTTCTTTTTTTTTAATGAAAAGACTATATATTCAATTTCTTTATGTTGTAATTGTCAATTCTCTTTATGTTTGGATGGTCAATTTTCAAAATTACCCATAAGAAAATCTAGGGAATGTGCACTAAAAAAGATATAATTTGATATTTTATAGATTTTTTTTAAAAAATAGTTTATATTTTGGGGTCAAGGGAGTGAAATTTTGAAGGAATTGGTGATGATATTTTATAGTTTAAATTATATTAAATTATAAATATTTATTAATTATTATATAAAAAGTTTTGTCTTTGTTATTAGAAGCTCTTCATTGAATGTTTTGTACTTTTTTAAATAAAAAATAAAAAGTTCTCAACAACAAGATTGTAATTGAAGTATTAAACGTCTAAATAGAACGTCAGCCCTTATTTGGGGCTATCAATATCACAGTAACAATAGAATAGGTTCGATAGATAGCAATAAAACTGCTAAGTAGGGCTACAAATGAACTGAATCCTTAACAAATAATTCAAGTTAATGTATTTGTTTAGACTTGGCTCAAGTTTGATTATAATCAAACTCTAATATATGACTCAAGTGGTCATTATGTAAGTTTTCATTCACACTATTGGAATTCAATTTCCTTTATCTCCATTCCTTCTTACCCTTACCCCAATTCCCCTTGATCAAAAGAAAAAAAAAGTTTGATTATAATCTAGTTTGAACCATGCCTGAGCCAGGACATGTGCAATTTTGAAATCAAAACACTAATTAGAAAGAACAAAAAGGGGATTTGAAGGGAAATGGAAAACCATCCTTATTGCATTAGTCCAAATTCCAAGAGACTTTCTTTGGCACAACATGTAGCCTACCACTAGATGTAACTAGGAGAATCAGCTACAAGGAAAGGCATAGTTTTAATGAGCCGTTACGTATTAATATTACAATGCGTAAGATGTAACACAGAATCTTTTTAGCAGACATAATAATGTAAGTTTATCTTGTCCACTTACAGAACGTGTGGAAATTAATTTGATTGCTTCTAACCCCACACTACATCCTCTGAGTTCCAATTAATTTCTGAATAGTATATTGTTTATGGACATAATTATTAGCACTTTCTGCAGTTCTATTCTTGCTTATCTTTTAATAGTTCTTTTTAAAAAAAAAAAAAAAATTTTGAGATGTATCTTTGAGTAATATTGAAGCAAAGTAAAGTATATGATAACGGTACATGTTTGCTCCAAGATAATTTATAGTAAGCTGAAAGTCACATCACATAATATTGTAGCCGACCCATTAATTTTTTTTTTTCTAAATAGTGTGAAACTTTTTCGAGAAATGAGAAAGGGAGACTTGAGATTTGATTCCAAATTCGTTAGTCTTATGCACATTCCGCAAGGGGGTGACCAGTAGATCACCGAGTGCGGGACTAACCGACCCATTAATTAATGTCTCCTTTAATAAGATTTTAATCCTAGACTAGAAAAGTGGAGAACAAAAGTCCTTGACACTTTAAAAACTTCTTCTCCAAAGTTTAAAGAAGTATTTAGATTAGTTGTTTAAATATAATAATTAATAATTATTATTTATAATTTAAAGTATTTAATCCATTTAATTCAAGTCAATAACTAACAATTATTTACAAAATGTTAAAAAGAAACCCCCCCTAAGTTCTTTTGTTTTACCAGAGCTATCTTTATATTTTCTGAGTTAGGGACTGGCTTAAGTCCAAGCTCACAACACATGTCATTGTTTCAAAGAAAGAAGGTGAAAATATCACACAATAACCTCTAAAAATGTCATTCCTAGTCACATGCTCACTTGGTCAAATTCAGTCACTTAAAATCTTTTAATTTTATACTTGTAAGAATGACATGTAGTCATTACAATTCTTCACTTCTAGTTGGGGATAATTATACATGCATAATCTATTCATACAATTTTTATTTATAATTTTTATATATTATTAAATAAGTAAGTTTATATAATATTATATTATAGATCCTAATAAAATAAAAAAAATCAATTATTAAATAACATATAATATTATATGAAAAAGTTATATAATAAAAATTATTTCTACTTCATCTGCCCTAAAATAATTATTTTTTTTTTAAATTTATCCTGAATTAATTTTTTTTGTTAGTTTTTAAGATTAACAAATACAGCTTTTTTTCCTACTTTAATTTGTTATTCATTATACTTTAATTATTATTTTATTATAAAAAAGTCTTTTACTGTTTACTTCTTTTTTAAAAATAATATAAATAAATATATAAATTATCTTTAAATTTTTAATTAAAAAGAATCAACAGAGTCAACTATTTTAAAACAAAGGAAGTAATCATCTGATTCCTTTTTAATTACTAAACTAGCTAATTAAGAGTTGACTAAACGGTATGATTTATGTACACAATAGTAAGAACAGTGTCCACTTTTTTTTCTTTCGATAAGTCCAAATCCAAAATTTCCATTTTTATAAGCATGTTATCTTTTGAATATCGGTGAATGATAAAAGAAAATATATCAATTGTCATCTTGAATTAGAAATTTGGTATCACTTCTCTGTGTATTAATTTGGCCCCATCTTTAATATAAAAGGAGTATCATTAGGAGACAATCGTTTTTTACAATTTTTTTATGGATTTCTCTAATATGTGTTTTTGGGTATAGATTAAAAGAAAAAATACATATCAATCCTAATTCTAAAAAAAATAAGAGTTTTAACTTTAAATTATATCGTTTTAATTAATTAAAACTTAATTTAAAATTTAAAAATTTATTTTATTAAATATTGATATTTAAATTTAAAAATTGATTGGATTTTTAAATTTTGAATTGAAATTTCAATTTCAATTTCTAAATATACCTTGGTACCTAATTTTTTGAAGTCGCAACTGATATATACTAATATATAGATTAAATATATAATAAATATATTTTTTATTTCTTCATGTAGAGAAACAAAGCAAGTAACTTCATTTTCAACACCAATAACTTGTGCACAATTTTAAAATAAGTGATTTATAAAATTGAGGAAAAAGGTACATACCAATCTTAATTCTTAAAAATAATTAGTTTTTTAATTTTAAATTATGTTAATTTATTTAATTAAAATTTAATTCAAAATTTTAAAAAATATCTTATTAAATATTGATATATTAAAATATATAATGGGTTTGCAAATTCAAATATGATATTTTAGTTTTTAGATGTAGGTTACGACTCTAATTTTTTTTTGAAATCGATACTAATATGCACTAATCTATAAATTTGAAATCAATTTTTATTTTTCATAATAATTAGTAATGAAATAATTACAATTAATGTACTATTAACTTGTGCCCTTAATTAGGTTACATATTAAAAAAATCTTCTCATATAACCTTATATATTATTTAATAATTAAGTTTTTTATTCTATAAAGATCAATAATATTATATACATTTATTTA